GGGGCTCTCTGCCTGGCCCTAGTGAGGCTGCTGCAGGAAAGGAGGGATAAATAAATTGGAAAACTGATACCAGTAATAGGGAAAACACTACAATCTATTAGTCAGGATGTGATAATGGGGCACTTAGAAGGTCAAAATATAGACCAAGGCAAAGCAGATTTATGAGAAGGAAATTGTGTTTGAAAAATTGATTAGAGTTGTTTCAGGGTGTAATTTGCAGAGTAGACAGGGGAACAGTGGATAAGAGCAAGACCAGTAGTGAAAATCTCCATCACCATGAGGAGTGAAACCATGGTGGGACATTACAGGGAAGCAGATGAGCAATTGTTTGAATGAAAGTGTGGGGAGAGGGAGATCCATTTAGTTAAAGCAACAGGAGACAGGAACCTTCGAGCTCAGAGCTTGAAATATGATGTCAGGAGTTTTAAAAGTGCACACTTAGTTACCGAAGTGCAACCGAATAAAGACTCTTACTCCATGAGGACCATGTGATAGTTAGTGTGTGTCAGCCACTCCGTTTTAAAAGAACCCATGTCCAGGCGTCTTCAACCGTGTTGTGATGAAGTTTGGAGCTGGCAACATCAGGAGCCTCCTGTACCATTCCTGCAGAGACAGACCTGAACATCATAGCGCCACTACAGCCTAGGAACTTTAGTGCTATCACTCTGACATCACCACCCTGCGTGAAACACTATGGGCAGGAACAAGTCACCTCAAAATACACTTTCTTCTGGAAAGGCACTTCTGAGGGAGGAGCATGGGGATGATTTCACCATTAAAAACAATAAAGGGTTGACTTGAAGCAGGGGCTTCAGCAAGTCCCTCTGGGGATGAACTAAAGCCTAACGACCCTTCTGCTCACCCTAATCCAGAAGCAGTACATCAGAGTAACCAGTGCATGTGCCCCAACCCTGGGAACAACATGAGACCAAACAGAGATTCTACTCCAGCCTCAATCAACCATTGTCCCATGTTCAATCGGGAGACAAGCTGATTTTCCTCAACGATTTCAATGCCAGAGTTGGGAGGGATACAAACCTCTTGAAAGGTGTGATTGGTAAGGAAAACTTAGGGAAAGTGAATACCAATAGAGTCCTACTCCTGATAAAATTCACAGAGCATGGTCTAGTCATAACAAATATTTTGTCAGAAACACAAATACACTCTCATTCCAGGCATTGACACCTCATTCGCTATGTCAGGTACCCTAAACTAAACATCCACAGACCTCTACTACCTGCTCCCACCACACAACACTGTCCCCCAATGATTAAGATCCACAATGAGCCACTGGACAAGGTGGATCATTTCTCACACCTTGAGAGCCTCCTGTCACCAATGGTGTAATTCGGTGTCACCTTCAGTGTGACAGTGCAACTTTTGACTATCTGAAGAACAGAGTATTGGATGACAAAAATCTCAAACAAAGCTCATAGTCTACAAAGCAGTAATGTCACCTGTCCCCCTGTGTAGAAGAACATAGAAATGGAAAATAAGAGAGGAGTAGGCCATTTGGCCCTTTCAGCCTGCTAACCATTTATTATGATCTTGGTTAGTCAACCAATTCAATTATCTGTTCCCCCTTTTCCCCCATATCCTTTGATCCCTTTAGCTTCAGTTTCTATATCTAATTCCTTCTTGAAATTATACACAGTTTTGATCTTGACTGCTTTCTGTGGTAGCGAATTCCACTGGCTCAACACTCACTGGGTGAAAAAATGTCTCCTCACCTCTGTCCTAAATGGTTAAACCCGATTCCTCACTCTATGGCCTCTAGTTCTGCACTCCCCCACCAACAAGAACATTCTTCCTGCACCTACCCTCTCTGCCTCTGCTAGAATCTTATAGGTTGGTATGAGACACCTGCAATTCTTCTAAACTCCATTGAATACAATCCTAACTGATTCAACATCTCCTCATACATCAGTCCTGCCATCCCAGAAATAAATTTAGTAAACCTTTACTGCACTCCCTCTGCAGTAAGAACATCCTTCCTCAGATAAAGAGACCAGACTGTACACAATATTTTAGGTGTGGTCACCCCAAGGCCCTGTACAATTGACAATGCACAGCAGACATCCCAAATCTGTGCAGAAATATCACCAGCAATATCTCCACAAACCAGCAATATTTCCGCAAAGTCCTGCATATCCGCAGCAGAATAGACACTTTAATATTAGAGTTCTCCCTTAGGCCATCACATCCAATACTGAAGTAACACTTAATATTAATCAAAACCAAAAGAACTGCGGATGCTGTAAATCAGGAACAAAAACAAAGTTGCTGGAAAAGCTCAGCAGGTCTGGCAGCATCTGTGGAGGAGAAAACAGAGTTAACGTTTCGGGTCCGGTAACCCTTTCTCAGAACTTAATATTAATCAGCTATGTTGGGTGGGTCACATTGTCTACATTGTCTGCCACACATCTTCCAAAACAAGCTCCCCGTTCTGAGCTCTGTCATAGCAAGCAGTTATCAGGGGTCTGCCTGATGCGGGGATACAGGGATAGGGTAGGGTATTGGGTCAGTGTGGACTTGATGAGTCGACTGGCCTGCTTCCACACTGTAGGGATTCTATGATTTAATGCATTGCTTTACTGTTGCTTGGTCAGGGCAGCGATAAACATTTTGATAATGGAAGTATGTACTGTAGTAAGTTGTTGACACGGTTATACCAGAGTCGTTAATCCCACCTGCTGCAACATAGTTTCAAAATGAGGTTTAATAAAAATTGTAATTTTCTTCAATGTGGCCACATTGGCTTTTAACACTGTGAGACATTTTTCTTTCTTGACCTCGGTAAAGTTTATATACTTCTCAGAAGAACATATCATAACCTGCTGTCAGTCCCTCCCACCTTAACAGGATGTAATGTAGTAACCTCAAGATTTGTGTTTTGTGTAAAGTAGCAGGAGATAAGAGTTAGACAATGATATTTAGCCTCCTAGGTAGTTTTATTTATATCAAATCCTACCTTGAAATAAAGAATCCACATTATTCTTTCAGCAATCCCTGTTGCATGATTGAACAGAGGAGTATAATCAGGTTCCAGGGATTTGAAAAATAAATTCTAGCACTCCCCATTGATATTTGTTTTGCTGTTCGTCATTATGAAACAAAATTCTCGAAGGTTTTGCATTTTAATCCCACTCCTACATGATGTGGCAATGTTTGTTAAACCTGAAGGAAATGATAACATCTGATTTCTTTTTTATGAACGTCCATGATGCATTTGAGGCAGTGGTGTAGTAATAATGCGACTGGACTACTAATTTCCAAAAGCCATGGGTTTAAATTTCACCATGCCAGATGCTGGAATTTAAGTTCAGTTTAAAAAATCTGGAGTCTCTGTAATGTGAACATGAAACTATCATCAATTACTGTAAAAACTCATTGAATTCACTGCTGTCCTTTAGGGAAGCATATCTGCCATCCTTATCTAATCTGCTCCACCCATGACCAGATTCACTGTAACATGATTGATTTGTGCTTTGAAATGGCCTGGTTGGACTCTAACTCAAGGGCAATTAGGGATGGTCAATTAATGCTGTGATTGACAACAATTCTGACATCCCATGAAAGATCTTTTATTTAGCAAAATTACTTCTGTCTGGATCCACGTCTTTTTCGGTCTGGAGATGATACCTTCACTATTCATTCTTTGGAGAATTTAGCGGAGAATGACTCTTGCTCAATATCATTCAAAGGTCCAGTGAACCACCTCTTCAATTCTAACTTGAGAGATTCTTCCACAAAGAGCAAGTCAAGCTCAGATATCCACAAACTAACCCATTTTGGATCAAATTTGGTTCACTTGACTAGAGAATCAACCATGAACCAACATCAACCTTTTAAAACAAAACTTCGTTAAGAAATAATTGTGTTAAAGAGTATTTGCAAAGATCATAGCTTTTTTTTGTTAGACTGAAAGTTTGGTCTGAGTTTTTATATGTCATGGATTTGATAATAGAAAGGGCTGTTATTTAAACACAAGGATAAAAGAAGTCTTAGTTAGATATTGTGATCGTAAATCCTAATGCAGTGTTTTTTTTATTAGAGTCCCAAGTTTCTAATTGGTGTTGATATTTAATCAAAATTGGCTGTACTTTTAAGTCCTCAGATAATCCAGTGCAATGTAGTTGTGGCTTGCATTATAAATCAGTTCAGAATGCCAGACTCCACTAGGTGCACACATTAATTTAAAATTTCCCTTCATATTGCTGACATTTAAAAAAAGAATTAGAAAGTGATAAGCAGATAAAGACTAAAATCCTGCTTTGTCTTACTTTGCCAAAATCCCATTAATTAGAATGAAGAGATACTAGAACATTTTGAAATACTCATGGCTTTTCACATTATTACAAGGGTTAATGATACCTGATCACTTCACCACTATTGTCACAACTGCACTATGAATCTTAGGCTTATCAGAAAGGTGACAGTTATTTTTACACATTTTGTTAGTCTTTCAATGCTAGGATCTTAAGGCTACTTATAGGTTTTCAATAATAATGTAGTTAGCCTTCATTTATTTCTGACATTATGGAAGACAACACTAAATAATAATATTATTTGGCCGTTATATTTGTCAGTACTACTGACACTCAGGATAATTAGATAAATCCTTTCTACAATGAGGATAACTGTTAATGAGATTTCACTTCTTCTGGGTTAATGTTTTTGCTTGCAAGTGTATCATTCATTTAACAAAGTTCCATTTAATGAATTTGGGGATCCTGCCTGTTGATTACAATGGGTATATTATTGCATTGAGCCACATAATTTATATTTTATAATTTCACTTGAGAATTCCAAGCTGACTCCGATGCCCTCAGCTTTAAATTGTATCTAGTTTTTGGATCCACAAGGAATAAATGTATTAAAAAAATCTGTTTGTTGGTAATTTATAACGTTGGAGCCAAACTGGTTTTGTACTGTTTTCATATGAGGATGTTATTGCTATCTAATACGTCCTGTCAAATGTATTTTTATTTTTTCTGCAGGTTAATGAGATTTACCATGATGAGTCTCTGGGAGCCCATGTCAATGTTGTGTTGGTGCGAATAATCATGCTGGGTTATGCAAAGGTAATGGAAAATGTATTTGTTGTCTGAGTGTATACATAGCCCCTAATAAAGTGTGTATGACTGTTTGTATTTCAACAAATCAAGGAGTTGTTTACACATGTTGAGGCCAGAATTTTCTGAAGCCCCACCCCCCCACCACCCGATTTCTGAACAGAACTGTACACAGGATCATACTTGATTTCCAGGTAGCTGGGTAGTATTGTGGCGAGGTTTAACAAAATTCTAGAAACCCTCCTCCTGGTCCACACCTTCCAAAAGGTCGTATTTGAGGAAGAAGAAGTTTCAGTTTGTTCCAGGTGAATTAGGATTTGATAGAGATCAGACATTTCTAACCCCACCGCGAATTTGAGTCTGCACAGGCCATTAAATTCACATCCTTAATACCATTGTGATTTTTTTTGGCACATACTGATCAAAAATTTATTTATTTTTCTAAAATCTATTTCTTTTTAATTTCTAAAGAGATACAAAATATAATGATTCCATCACAGTGCGCTTTTCAACTCTATCACAAATAGTAATACTAGAATTGATATTTAAAGGTCAATTTTGTGACCCCCTTAAATAAGATCTTTTATATTCTACATAATAAGACTGGCCCAGTTTACTCAAAAATACTTAAGAGAAGGCATCTGTTCTTGTAAACTCCTGCTTTCTCATTTTGTGCATGTACTTAAGGCCACTGAGAGGCACTTGCCAAATTTTGGAAAGTAGAATTTGGCAAAATCTCTACTGAGGATTATTGGCTGCCTGGGTAAAGCTGTGTGCAGCTTTGTGAAGTTAGATCATACGAGTAACCAAGCTGACTCCTTGCACAACTTTGATGTTGCATCAGCAGCTTTGTCTCAGTGAGAAATGTGGCAAATTGCAAACCAAGCTTTAAAAGATGATATAAACTAACAATTGCTCAGTAATTGTGTTACTGGTCAGATATTTTAGCAATCGTGGATAAATATTCAGTGGCTGTTGTGGTGCAGTGGTAGTGTTCCTATCCCTGGACCAAGAGACCTGGGTTCAAGTCCTGCCTCAACCAGTGGTGTGTAAGAGCATCCCTGAACAGGTTGATTAGGAAAAATAGGTTAAATTGCAGGGGAGGGGGGAAAGAGCTTGAGTTCAACTTCCATCACAATAGTTGAAAATATTAAAATTTAAATAAACCTGAAATAGAAGCTAGTATTAGTGCTCACTCAACTACTAGACTATGATAAACCAATCCATTTGATTCCTAATCTGTCTGGGTCTATGTATGATTCAGGATCCATAACAATGTGGTTGACACTTAACTACCCTTTAATGACCCCCCTTGACCGGAATGCAGCTCTGCCAGGAGTGTGCCCATTAACAGCATGCACGCAGGTGGTGATGCTACATAATGATGGTTACTTCCTGCTTTCACTCTCTGGCAGTACCATCTCAACAAAATTCAGCCCAATGTTTCTCTTGTTAAACCAACATTATCTCCAACTACAAATTCAAAATCTTGTGTCTTGAATCCAGTACCTGTCACCAGGACAGGTTCCATTCATGTCATTTCTGTACCAAATCTTGCAGCTGGGTTTTTCGATCATTTCACATCATCCTTTAAGTCATTTTGAATGTGATCTCATAAATTACATACAGTGCTGGCTGAATTTTGACCAAACTTAGGCGTATTTGCCAAATTGTTTTTCAGCTGAGGCAGGCCAGACAGATTTCAAGCTTGTGCTAAATGAGCTGGAAAGCCTGAATTAAAAAGCATAGAGCACTGGAGAAACTTGGCAGTACCCTACACAGGCTGGAGGAGCAGCACCTTATTTTCCATTTTGGTACTTTGCAGCCTTCCGGACTCAGCATTGAATTCAACAATCTCAGACCATGAGCGCTGTCAACCATTTTGTTTCCCCTGTCTTCCTTGCCCCCTCCCTGCCCAGTGTCAGGTTTTGTTGATTTTTGCTGATCAGCTATTATTATTTTGTATTCTGCAATTAACACTTCCTATGGACTTATCTCTACAACCATTACAACGGTGTTTGCCTTGTGTGAAAACGGTGATCTCTAATTTTGCTTGCCCTGTAACCATGGCCTGACCTTCTCTTCTATTCCACTTGCTCCTCACCACCTTCTTTTACAGTATAACACCCATTACTTTTCCGCTTCTGCATTCAGTTTTAAAGAAGAATCATAATGGACTCAGTATGTTAACTCTGTTCCACTCTCCGCAGAAGTTGCCGGAATTGCTGAGTTTCTTCAGTAGTTTTGCTTTCTTTGCAGTGTCCGCTGCATTTTACTGTTGTATAAACCAGGCAGCTTATTGCTCAATATAGTCATAGAATCCCTACAGTGTGGAAACAGGCCCTTCAGCCCAACAAGTCCACACCAAACCTTGGAGCATCCCACCCAGACCCATCCCCCTATAACCCACCTAATCTACACCTCCCTGAACGCTACAGGCAATTTAGCATAGCCAATCCACCTAACCTACACATCTTTGGACTGTGGGAGGAAACCGGAGCACCCGGAGGAAACCCACGCAGACACGGAGGAGAATGTGCAAACTCCACACAGACAGTCACTCAAGGCTAGAATTGAACCTGGGACCCTGGTGCTGTGAGGCAGCAGTGCTAACCACTGTGCTACCGTGCTGCTCGTCACTACATTTCATTACATACAGTTACATTTCAGGAATAAACCAAATTTTGATCTGTAAATTAAATGTTGTGCAATTTGAGGCTCCGACATCAATCCCAGTTATGAACTGAGAACAGACATTCTCCTAGAGGAGCTCAACAAAGTTTGCTACTCTCGGGTCTTGACTTTTTATATCGGTAACCCATTTTAAACATCCATATTAGAAAGAAGGGAGTGAGAGAGAAATATATCGTTTTCATTCACCCATATACACACACATATACATTCCTTTTGGGCCGATGTTGACAGAAGTTCTGATGCTGTTGATAAAGAGTTACAAGAACTTGTTGAAGTTTTCATCAATTGTTCTCTTTATGAGCTAAAAATCGAAACTGCTAGGTCTTTGCACTCAAGTGCGCTGATGATAGGAAAAGAAATTTGAAACTGTTACAAGGTATTCCAACTGACATAAGTGCACAAGTTTACCTCACAGACTGAAATATATCTGCAGTGTAATCACCGTGGTAACACAGTAAATGTATGGCAGACAATTTGCACGGAACAAGTTTGCGCAATTAACATTGTGATAATGACCAGGTAATCATTTCTTTTTTCAGTAGTTTGAATTCCTTTATCACAAAACAGTGCCATTGGAACTTCTGTGTCCATTTGACAGAACAGACAACTAAAAATTTGACATTTTTCATTCAAAAATCAGCAGCTCCAACTGCACTTCCTCAAAACTACGCTGGATTTCAGCATTGGCTTACAATTGTACATTCAAGTCTCTGATGAAGACCATGTCCAATAAGAGCCATTCTAATCACAGCCCCTTGACATTTAATGGTGTTACCATCACCGAATCCCCCACTGTCAACATTCCTGAGGTTACCATTGACCAGAAACTTAACCTGACTCAGCTCATAAATGCAGTAGCTGTAAGACGAGGTCAGGGACTAAGAATATTGTGGCAAGTAACTCATCTCCTGACTCCCCAAAGCCTGTCCACCACCTGCACGGCACAAGCCAGGAGAATGGAATACTCCCCATTTGCCTGGATGGGTGCAGTTCCAACGACACTCAAGAAACTTGAAACCATCCAGGACAACAAGGCTGCTTGATTGACACCACATCCACAAGTATCCACTCCCTCCACCAATGATGCTCAGTAGCAGCAGTGTGTACTATCTACAAGATGCACTGCAGAAATTCACCAAAGATCCTTTGACAGCACTTTCCAAACCCACAATCACTTCTGTCTGGAAGGACAAGGCAGCAGATACATGGGAACACCACTCTCTGCAAGTTCTCCTCCAAGCCACTCACCATCTTCACTCGGAAATATATTGCCGTTCCTTCACTGTCATTGGGTCAAAATCCTGAAATTCCCTCTCTAAGTGCATAATGGGTCAACCTACAGCACAGGGACTGCAGCAGTTCAAGGCAGCTCACCACCACCACCTCAAGGACAGCTAGGCACAGGCAATAAGTGCTGGTCAGCCAGCAATGCTCATGTCCCATGAGTGAATAAACAAAAACAGAATAGAACTAAAAACGCAGAACTTTCTGACTCAGAATCAAGGATGCTACCCACTGAATCATGTGACAATAACAGACGCCCAAAATAAATAAACTAAAAAACCTTTCTATAAAAAGCTTATTTTACTTCCAAAGATTTTCAAATTTTTACACCTACATAGAAGTAGGGATCAACTATGTGGTGCTATACTGATAAACTTAGGGATTCAGCATTTGGCACAGTAGGCAGGAAACATGGCGGCCAGAATAGTTAATCATGGCAGATGCCGCATATAAATCTCTTGATGGCAGGAAAAATCCACACAATCTGGAAGTGGGAACATGCCAGTGGGATAACTCACTGACAACCTGCCGTGGACCAATCAGACTATTCATAGATTTCCATCTTGGAGAAGAAAGATCTCCCTCCTCGCCCACTCACTTCATTGCTTCCCTCTCTCATCTACTCTCTCCACCTACTCCCCCACCCCTTCTCCCCCTACACTCCTTCCCCCTTCACCCACTGCCTTCATTCCTTCCCCCTCTTAACCCACACACTTCACTCCTTCCCCCTTCACCACTCCCTTCACCACTCGCTTCAACCATTCCCTTTCTTAACCCACACGCCTCACAGCTTCCCCCCTCACCTACTCCCTTCACCATTCCCTTCATTGTTTCCCCCCCCCCCCCCTCCCTTCACCTACTCCCTTCACCACTTCCCTCCCTTCACTCACGCACTTCACCCATTCCCCTTCTTAACCCACACGCCTCACTGCTTCCCCCCTCACCCACTCCCTTCACCTACTCCCTTCACTCTTTGCCCCTGCACCCACTCCCTTCCCTGCTTCCCCCTCTCACCTGTTCCTTTTACTGCT